TAGCAGCAGCAGAGAGTGAACTGATTGAAGGGTGCTCATCCCCTTCTTTAATACACTACAAAAAGGTGGGAAAGAAGCAAGGGGAAGGGGGATGGAGCGCCCTCAGACATTTTGAGCTTTAGAAAACCACTCCATAGTAGGCCTGCACATGTGGGACTGCATAGGTAACACAATGACGAAAACAGCATTTAGATTAAATGAAAATGGATATAAATTCCACAATACACCTGCAAATATGTCACATAAACATCAACCAGTTCAAATCAGATTCCTCCAACCTATTAATTACTTTCTGAAACTTTCCAACCAAGCTTTGAATTGATATTTCAAACCAAGTTCAATATTTTTTTAAAAAAATTCAGTCCCTCAGACAAGAGGGAACCTTCCAAAGAATACATGTGGACATCTGACCTGGAGGAAATATAGGAGAGGGAAAGTAACTCCTGCAGAGCTTTTTGCTAGTCAGCATTCATAGTTTTAAAGAAGCGTTTTAAAGCTACCATAATTTTCATGTGCAACATGGAAGTAATCTGCTCACTGCAATGCAAAGATGGTTGCTGCTGAAGCATAAAGGCATTTTAATGGTTTCAATGCATTTCTGAAGACAGATGGGGAAGATTACGACACTGCTACCAGATTGTTTCACTAATATTAAGGATGGCTCAGGAAAGGTTTCAGACTTTAATATCGTACATATTCCTGGTTTCCAGGGCAAGATTAGTATCCCTTTCATAAAGATTCCTAGGAGAATGCATGCAGAGTACGAATTCTTACTGTCTGTTGATCCTTGTAACCTTTTACACTTCAGTTCCCACAGGCTTACTGTTACAGCTGAATTTCAACAGATTTTGGAATGCTTCCAGTTAAAAATGAGTTCTTAGAGACAGTAATCTTAATGAGCAAATCTCACTTGTGCAGCATTATTTTAATAAGCTTTATCTCAATAGAAACTGGTAAGCAAAGCTATTTCTGAATTAATGCAGATTCTCTTGTATACAGAAATATCACTTGCTAAGTGTCCTGTCATTCTTCTGTCCTTCTGGTAAAAAGAAGCATGGAATAATAATTCTTTATTTGATTTGTGTGTGTAAATTACAAATTCATATTTAAAAATATAAAATAAAATCCTATTTCCAGACAACCGGGTCATTACATCCCAACTAATCCAAAGGCTAATTCTGAATTCAACATATTGGATATTTCACTTAAACAATATAAAAATAAAACAAAAAAGGTCACATGAGTGGGCCGAAAAGGAAGCAGGAACCAATGCTGAGAGCAAGTAGAGGGAAACAAACACTCTTTTTTTGTTTTTATAGTTTTTATAGCTACATGCTCAGGCTTGCATAGAAACATGTGTGTACTGATAGTTCCAGCAAGTCGCAGATGACTTATGTTGATCCATGAGCTCCGGCAGCTTTATAGCTACATGCTCAGGCTTGCATAGAAACATGTGTGTACTGATAGTTCCAGCAAGTCGCAGATGACTTATGTTGATCCCAGAGGGATTTTAAGGCAAGTGATGAAGCAGAAGTGGTTTGCCGTTGCCTCTGCAAAGTCTTCCTTGGTGGTCTCCCATCCAAGTACTGACACTGCTTAGATTCTGAGCTGATAATATACCATTCCACATCCCATATAGGAACATATATCCTGCTGAATCGTAGATATTAAATTAACACTGGTGTTTTTGACATGGGGGGGGGATTGTGCAGTTTCCTAGCATTGAACTTCAGGCAAAAACCAAGAAAGTGACCTGAGGAAAAAGCCATCAATCTGAATCAGCTGCAGCTACCAGCTTCCCATTTCATTGCAAACACTCCCACTTTGACTAAATGTATTTATTCCTCAGCTACTACCTTAAGCAACTCAAAAAATATATTTTACGACCTCCATACACATTTTGTCCATCCATTTTTTTTAATGCCATCTGAAATGGAACTAAGGCACATTAGGTCTTTATAGACCATTAGACATTTATACATTGTTTTATTGCTTTTACTTTTTGTTCTTTTACTACATGTTGTAAGTCACCCTGTGCCCACATGTGGGATAGGGTGAGGTATAAATTGAATGAACTGATAAATAATCTCCACTGCTTTAAAATATCAGAAACAGCCTGTATATGGAACAAATTTAAAAGTCACAGGGACAAGTGAAGATACCAAGAGATATTGTCACTGTACAGTGTGCTTATGTCCAGAAATCTCCCTAGAACATGTTTCTATTCAAAAGTAGCCATGTGATTGCCATCTAGGGTTGCCAAATAATGTTCACTCACCGGCGGGGGAGTCTGCGTCCCGTCTGGGAGCAGTCCGCATGTGTGTGCGCACGTGCGCTTCGTGCGCGCGCGCCGCCGCGACATCACCAGAAGTGACGTCAGACGCTACCGACGTTGGGGGCGTGGCCGAGCTCGTCGGGGGGAAACATATGGTTTTCCCCCCCAACGAGCTCAGCCACGCCCCCAACGTCAGCGACGCGACTGCGTCACCTCCGCTGGTGCAGCTTTCGGCTACCCGCCCCCCGGGCACATTTGGCAAGCCTATTGCCATCTGAAATCAAAACACATGGAGGGAAGCATTTGCAGAAGACAGAATTCTACATGAGTACGGTGATTCTGTGGAATTATTCCCATAAATAAGTATTGCAATTGCTAAAATGTTGGGGGAGACACCTTAAATAAATGCCTTGTCATATGAACCAGACTTCATTCAGTTGTGTTTCAGTGGTTACTGCAATATAAATATTGACTCTGCTAGGCCTCTGATGACCTGGTCAGCTACTGGAAAACCAGCAACATCTAAAAAAGTGGTCTTGAGAACAAAGAATAATCATGCAATATTATTTTGAATCAAAGCCTGAATGTTGTGGATATTTGAAATGAATGTTTGAAGAAAGAAAAGTGTCCCGATTCTAACATCACTGAACAGCGACTAGCAGATCAGCACCGTTTTATCATGTGAAACAACTTTTTCACAGCAATAGAACTTGATGAAATAAGGAACAATCACCACCCAAAGGAAGAACATGAAGAACAAGAAATAAATGAAACCAACCAAGAAATAGACCTTAGCAATGTTGCTCTTGAAAGTCCACTGATAAAGAGTGAGGTATTGACAATGCATCATCTGCTTACTTCCTTATAGGAAGAACTGAAGGCAAAAATCTTACAGCATATTAACAGCAAAGAAGACAGACAAAGTTTACCTATGCTCAGAACAGCAACAAAGAAAGAACTTGCAAGGCTCATTGAAAATATCAATGCAGTGATTGAAACAATAATACAACAAACATTACTGAAACCAGCCAGTTGATGTATAGTGCAGTGGGTACAGTAACAAGAGAACTGGGAATGGACAGTAAGAAAAAGGCAGCTAAGGATTTTAAGGTGAAACCTAACTGGCAAATGAGATTGGAGGTCCAATAGACTTGAACTGAAAAATACTGAATTAAAAAAAATTGCACAACCCTATTTATAAGTCTTCATCCACAACTGGCAGAAGACTGAATAACAATTTAAGGTTGCAGAAACCAAAGAAGATAACAAAACGATTGAAATCAAAACTCACTTTGACAACT